CCCCAAAACCCCAAAACCCCAAAACCCCAAAACCCCAAAACCCCAGTGCTGTACAATATAATTGAGTTTCACAAAGTAATTTCAATTTGAATTTTCCCAACAAATGTTGGACTAGAGATCAATCACTTGGAGATTAGGAGGATCCAACTGGGTTTGGCAATCAATACTCTTTATCTTCCTCCCAGAGTTAGCTCTCTGATGTAGCAACGTCTTCCTCTTTCTTACAGCCCTGGGCTAGAGTGGTTAGGCAATCCTAGTACCTGGTTTTCATAGAATGAAAGATGCTTTTTATTTTCTCTTCAGCTAAATCTAATTTTGTTTTTCTCATTCTGGGGTTTCAAATAGTCATGTTTTACAATAATTTTCTATGATATATCAAGAGGAATTACCTTTCCGTACATGTTAGAATGGGAGCTCTGATAATCAGTCCACCCTTCCATCTGGAGGTTTCGTTCCATCTGGCATCGAGGGTAAATTCTCTTGGGCATTACTATAGGATTATTCTGGCTAAATACAAAGTCTAACTGGAATTTTCTCTTTATTTAGATCGCTTTATAAATTTTTCTAGGTTTAGCTTGATCATTGCTCGTTTATCAACCATATTTTCCTTCAATTTTTCACCAAGATCTCGATAAAATGCTGAAGAGTAGTCTGTTGGGTCTCTAAAATTAATACTTCGCTCTGATTTATTCAGATAACTATTCTTAGGGAGCAAGCATTCTCCTTGAAACTTCACCTTTCCGAAGTTGTCGGTCAAATTTAAGTTGAGAATCTGGCCACTCTTGTGATTCCTTCTGCTGGTGGAGATCTTCAGCCTCCTACTACTTCTTTGCTCACTGTTCTGCCGATGCTTTCCACTAGAAGAGAATAAATTTATGAATGTTAATAAGGAATGAGGAAAATAGGGTTACATTCAGGTATTTATACATTTATTTAACCCTCTCTTGGATCTCATTTCTCTTTGCCCTTGAATAGTCTATCCTATTATTCGAATGGCTTTTAATGGTTAGAGAGAAGCTGTTTAGATAGTTTCTTCGATGATACATTTTTCAATAAAATGATTAAATAAAGGGGTTTTGGGGTTTTGGGGTTTTGGGGTTTTGGGG